TGTGTCTTTGTGCATAATTACGTATATCATATTATATAAATATTATACTACGACTATCTCTTTTGCATGTGATATGTCCTCATGTTGAAATCAAGAGAAAACAAAATTCAACGAATTGTTGCTTCCATGTATAGTTTTAGAAATAGGATCAAATAGAACAGTCAGAAAGATCATGCTATAACACATTTCGGAGTGTGTAAAATTGTATATTTCCTCAAAGGGGAGACTACCAAGAAATCAACAGAATCGAAAGTATTCAAATCCCAGATAGCTTCCCTTGTCATACACGATCTTTGCATGACATTCCACGTTGATGTTTGTGAACATTACACAGAGAGTTCGGTCTGTTCACGTTTGGCGAGGTTGAGAAAAGATGAAAACGAATTGCTCTGTCTAAATGTCGGAGGAACGTGGAAGCCGGTCTAAAAGTTGAATGAAAAACAGAAGTGAAAACCTAAATATTAAAGGTAACTATAAACTAAGACACGCTTGTTTTGATTTTTTGTGTTTAAGATGGTCAAATAATAAAAGGGAATACTTAAAACTTAAAACACCCAATACCACTTTTGAAAGCACACCTTTGAAAGAAGGCCCAACAGATGGGTGAGTACTTTTCGAAACTCGCGTGCAGACAAGGGGCAGGGTGACAACTCACTGACAGCACTGTCACAATTTACCGTAAATCATTTGTGATCCTGTGACCACCCAAATAGCAGTACATGTATTTTGAAATAGAACCCGGAAAAGAAACCATTAGTTCTTATTGAATCACGATTTTTTTAGATTTTTGTTTGGTCGTTCGCCTAAGGGGGTGCCATGCAAAGCGACGTGCGCGTTGACAAATTAATGATTGAACCAGAATATTTCAACGGGATCAGACAAAAGCGAATAAGCTGCTACAGTTGTTTGTTCAATTTGTTCTAGCTCTATATTATTAGGTTGTTGTTGTTGTGGCTGTTTGTGTTTCTGTTGCTGTTGCTGTTGCTGTCGCTGCTATTGCTGCTGGTGCTGTTGGTGCTGCTGCTATTACTACAACTACTAGATCTAGAATGATAGAGGAATGGTAGCAGGTGCATTAACAATAGTAACAACAAC